ACCGATCGATGGGACCCAAAATGTACGACGCTTCTGTGCGCGCAGCACCTGACACACTGCGAGATTATTTATCCGTATTCGTACACGGCACGTAGGTCGACGCCATCCTTGCCGAATTCCGTTGACCATCGGCTTGACCAGGAGGAGGCAAACGGAAATTTCAACGAAGGCATTCAAGAGCGAACAAATGCAAAAGAGAAAAAGACTGATTTTTTAACACTGCGACGAGACTAACTCTCTTCAACCTTCGCAAGTTCAGACTTGTTGGTAGAGCAGCGGGCGGCGTCGAGCGACGTCGTTTTAGCATGCTTAGCGCGTAGGCCACGCGATATTCCAAGTACGCTCGGCTATTTTCATGCTACACCAAGAAGCACGAGGCACGAGGAACGAGCGAGCGCACAAGTGCGCGCGCACGCGCACGCGCACGCGCGCGCGCGCGCGCGCAATGCCTATAGCGGCGTGACACGACGACGAAGTGGTAACGGCGGTCTCTCCACGTCGCTCGCACCATGCCGTATTAAGCCGGAATCGGCCCAGCCGAGTGGGATCGTCAGAATTTCTCTCGGTTTCTGTCGTCTATTCGTGGAAGGGGCTACCAGACCGGGGTCTGGTTATAAAGTTCCCTTCAAACCGCAACGCGCGCACGATTCTTGTAGATATTCCTAAGAGGAAAGAATAACTGCGAGCCGCGAGCAAAATTTGTCGCAACATCCCCTCTATTCTTCCCTTGCTTTGCCTTCCCTTCCTTTCCTCGTCCTATTTCCTAATTTTCCTCTCTCGTTTCGGTAGTTTTCCTAAAATATAGCATTGCAGGGCGAAATATGCAAACTTTTTTCGTGTTTTGCGCTGTCGCGAACGCGCTCGAGTTGAAATATCTCGCAAAGGGCAGCTTGTTGTTTCGTCAGGGCGAAACAACAAAATTTACTTTATTCGCGCTATCTCAATTTACTTTAACTGCCCGTGAGGCCCTAATCGTAAATCCAGCCAATTTTATTACGCTCGCACTGCGATACTATATGAACCCTCCCCCCCCCCCCATTACGGTCTTGTAATAAGCTTAAAAGGATTGTACGACACTCATCATCATCCTGACCAGACACCGGTATCTTCCGGTTCTTAATACTGACAATGTGATCCCATGAATTTGGCTCCCTTATCAGATGATAGCGCGATATTTTGCAGACGCGATGATAAAATATTGCTGCAAGTGCTTTTTTCGATCAATTTATCGTAGATTTTCTTACACTTCCTCACAATGAAATTAGCCCGATAATGTAACGTCCGGTCGACAGATTTCCCCTTTGTAAATGCACACTCCTGAACAAACGTAAACAAAATTTCAATCACTGGACAATGAAATCTTATTTTGCGTTGTTCGTCTCTTGATGCTCGTCTATAGTCTGCATTTCCGGCTTTTTTTACGGGAAGGAAATCATCCGTTAAATGTGCGTAGTAGCACATTTGCATGCTCGATTAGTAATCTTCTGCGAATTAGCAATTCATAGAGTCGTGTTGTAACATATTTACAATGAGACGGCAGTGAAATGCGACGAAGAATTCTCTATTGGATTTGCGCTGTGTGCGTCATAGTCGCGCACGAAAGCAGCCATCGGTGGTTAACGATGCTTATCGGTGATAGAATCTAATTAAACGAGTCGGAAAGTAAATATGTGAAATCAATGTCTGTGTACAGGGTGATTATTTGGGTGAAATGATGACTCGGTTAGCCGAGTCGAGTCGATCAATTATTTATTTAAACGCCAAGAGATTAATTCTGTCATGCGCTCTGAAAGATCGCAAAACGGGACAGAAAGTGTATAGCAACGATGAACAATAACGGGCACGAACTGAGCGCATGATCTAAAGCTGACATCTAGAAGTCAGTGTTCATCTTTTTACGTGAGATATATATATATATATATATATATATATATATATATATATATATATATAGTGATAAAGCCTTGTCTCTTGGCAAGACAGGGAGGGAGAGGGCAGGAGATACGGGCGATACGCATCGTTTGTAATGATTCGACTTTTCGAAGAGCGTCCTTTCTTTCGCGGATACGCGGCCGTGAACGTCCTAGGGCACGTAGACGCACGCGGGGTGCGTGACCCAATCACCCGTTCACTGGCAGCGCTGTGCGTGAACGGCGTGAATTCACCGCGCATCGAGTCTCCTCTCCGGCGAGGCGCGGTGGGGGATTATCGTGAAGTACCAGGCACAACAGCGGACAGTCGGGCGGGGATCCCCCGTGCGCGCGCGCGCGCGTATACGTGCACACATGAAAGAGAGGAGGCGCGATACCATCGCGTCGTGCATGTGTGCGCGCGCGTGTGCGTCAGTGGCCGCGAAGGCCGACGGTGGAAGAGAGGTGCTCCGTCAGACGCAAGTAAGCGTTGCTCTGGTGGTGGCGGCGGCGGCGGCGCGCGGCGGAGGGTGGAGGGACGGAACGCCGCCGCTGCTTCGTCAGACGCGCGCGACTCGAGTCGGGGCCGTGCGCGTGACTCACTTGCTGCGCTTCGCGGGAATCTCCCGTTTCCTCGCCAGTGGCAGCACTGTACAACTTTACGTAGTCGCATGCGACAAGTACAGTCCGCGCACAGCTAGACAGAGGAGGTGGTGTGGTCGGCCAATACCAGCCAGAGTTCATCCGGTGCAGCGACGCACTCGGCCGTCGCAGACCCGCTATATGCGATATATCAGTATATCAGTGTTTCTCAACCTTGCTTCCGTGACGTGATATACTTTCGATGTAATTCAACGTCCACGATTTGCACGATTTGGTATGCGGGACGCGTTGATTTGTTCATAATTGGAATGTGACAAACGAATAGCTTCATCAATTGGGAACGGAATATGTTGCAGCGGTATTTCAATTATGTTTCTTTTTTCTTTTTTTTTTTTTTTTTTTCTAAATTGCGACAGTGGAATACATTGGAATCAATGTCGGAATTTCAGACGTTTGGTCTCAATGACCAAAGAGAGCGAATTGATTCGCACGCTCCGCACAAGAGAAAAATAACGCGCGTCACTGATTTAATTCACCGCAACATATCGCATCGAGCGGATGCTAATAGCTCGTCACGTTCGCACATCGAGCACATGAACAATCTAACGATATATCCACGATAAATGTGACGACAAATATATGTACCGCGCGCGCACGTCAAAACTGCTAGCGCTGCTAGCGGACAATTAAAATTGTTGACAATACATCCAACAAATATATGACAGCCACCTACTCTACGCGCCATCCGTCATACTCACCACCAAGTGATTCGTTTCCTACCGTTATCGATTTCTACATTGAATTAAATCATGCCACCGAAAGAAGATGGTACACCAGCTTTATCGATATCAATGGATAAGCGGGAATAATCCAGCTCGCGATGGATAAAATGCCATATATACAAGGAGTCACAGATAAAATTACCATACACACACAGGATCCTAACAAGTCATAAAAAATATATACAAATCTGCAGTAAAAATAGTCAGCCTCAATAACCCAAAGAATAGGACATCTCCCTTGAACGCACACACATATACACCCCCCCCCCCCTCCAAGAGTTTACAAAATTCCTTGCTCATAGTAAAGTCTAACTAGAAAAAATTAATGTTGAGCACACACGTATAAAGGAGCATTAATCTATACAGTCAGGCTGAATTAATTAATACAACCTTATTAGTATTAAGTTGGCAGAACAGAACAGATCACACAGAAACAGGACACACAATATCATTTGATCAATCCTCAGCTTAAAAGCACGTTTGTTCGAAACGCACATAAAATAAAAAAGAAATTCTCCGGAGAGAATCAACAATTTCTGTCCCGAGATTTTGCGCGCTTCTCTCGCGAATGATTCTCACTGGATGATCGCGTTAACGTTTAAAAGTTTACGACATGTTCGCTTCGATGACAAAGGACTCTCGAGAGCTCGTGTGTCGAGTGACTGCCTCGCCGGCGAAAGTCGCGCTATCTCGCCCGA